GACTTGGGTTGGAGGTGGGTTTCTTCAGTGACGATATATTTCGCTTCTGCTAGGGACCTGAGGGCACCCTCTGGTCACTTACTTTAAATAAAATTCTCGGTTTTCGGTTTCGTGTCCCCGTGTAGTGTGAATTCAAACTGCAGACCCAGGGGAAGACTGTCCATTGTTATGCGATCGGCAGAAGAGACTTGTGCCCCCTCCAGCCCGTGAGAAGGTTGGCGTGTGCATGTTCCAGGGCAGGTGACGGGTAGGGTGTGTCATCTCTGATGCACCCTCGTGTTGAGGGTTTGCCCCTCTGCGGTCTCAGCTTGGTGCAGGAGTGGAGGTAGACTCTTCCACAGGGCTCTCGCCTGCGACGGAGTCTGGGCTGGGGTCCTGGGCCCTGCACCCCGCAGACCACGAACACGAAAGACCACACTCACCTCACACCCTCAGAAAGAGAAGGCGTTTACCTTTTCCGGTTTCCGTTTTCACTGGGGCTTTTACTTTGAAGTGTCTCTTACCTTCTAATCAGAACACCAACATCTTTCGGTATGTTAAACGTGTCTATGTTTCTCGCTGCGCTTTGGGTTGTGCTCAGGGCGAGGCTGGCTGCGGCAGGAGCCGATCAGGGAACTGCCGTCGGAACCGGGTCTGGTTTCCGAACCTTGTTCATGATCCTCCTGTCGTCAGGAAGGGGCCATTTCGATGTAGGCAAGAGGCTACCTTTTCCTTCAGAACGATTGCTTTCGGCCTTGTCTATGACATCTTTCCTTTCTCTCAATCATAAAATACAAAAATACATCCCCTTACGTTCTCTCCGTGTGATGGAAGGAACAATGTAGTTTTGTTCACGCAAAGACGATGCACGGGTCAAATCTGGCTCTTCCCGTTTCTGTATCCCCCTGAGAGCCAGGCACGGCCTCCGCCCTTTCAAAGGCTATGTGTATATACGCATCTTCATTCTCACGTGTGCATGAGGAATATGCGTGAGACCCTGCACGTGGCCTGTGGAGTCCGCAATATTTATTATGTTCATTGTCTGGGCCTGTACACGAAGAGCCGGCACATCCTAGATAATCCCCTTCTGCTCACTTGCTCTATTTCATCTCCCCGCTTACTCTGGGAAATTTTTCGGGGCCTCTGTTCTGTCACCCTCTCTTTGTTGTCAACCCCAAACGCCCCACCGCCGTGGAAATGGCTGTTCCGAAGGAACGTCCACGGGTGGAAGGAGGGAGGCTCCATCCTCAGAGTGGAGCTGGGAGAACGCGGCAGGGTCGTGCGGGGACCGGGCCGCCCGGGCGAGCGCTGGACCGGGGGACTGGATTCATCGTGACCGTGGAGCCCGCCGCACGGAGCGCGAGACACTGAGGCTTGTTCTCGGCCGCGCTGCAAAGGACCCGCGAGCCCCCAGTGATGGAGCCCGTCGGGGGAAGGGCCCCCCTGCGCCCCGAGCCACGCCTTCGCCACGGAGGGAGGAGAGGGACGCGGGCACGGTGCCCGTTCTCTTGGCCCACGGCTTTTCCTCCCCGAGCGCGGTCTCTCAGGAGGCCTGCGTCCGAGCACGTGGCTGGACACACTTGACCCGTCTGATGAGGCCGCACTCTTGGTCACAGAGCATGGTTTCTGCAGGAAGGTGGAGGCACCAGCCCGGAGACCTGAGGCCACCAGGAGTGCTCAGCGTGGCCCCAGGTTCCGCTCGGGGGACCTCGAGGGCCCGCCACATGCCCACTGGACTTCTCTTTGCTTGTCGCTCTCCGTGGCGTCCAAGGAGAGTGACAGGGACCCTGTGAACACGTTCTTCCCCGGGATGAGGATGTGCGCGGGGGGCTGCGGACCTAGGAGACCCTCCGGGGGGGCAGGGGCTGAGGGGGAGGTGGTCAGGGCTTTCCGCCTGCATCAGGGCACATGACAACCACCTGCCCTGCTTTGGGGAGCTTCCCACTGGACTCCGCTCAGCACTGGGGTCCCTGAGCTCCGGCCCGTGGCCAGCCCGCTGTCAGTGTCCCCGCTGGAGCTGGCCTGGGCGACAGGCTTTCTCCGGACTGTGTTCCCATGAGGTCTGGGAACCCAAAGGACACGCTGGTCTCGCGTCGGCGCCCCCGCTGCAGCTCTTCACGGGAGGCCCACGGAGAGACCCAGGCGGCCGAGGCCGAGCGTGGGGGCTGCATTTAAAACCTGGACCGTACATGGCGGGTCATGGCTTTTGTTTTTGTTTTTTAACGTAAACCACGATACAGGCCCGTTGAAAGTAGCAAGGCAGACAGAAACCCAGAAATCCAGATCGGACTTCTAAACACAGCCTTGAGCACAAACGAAGCGAGAGAGAGTCTCCGCGGTGCAAAGCCGCGCGTGCGCGGTGCGTATATAGGCGGCGGTGTGCTGGGAAGGGGCCTGTCCCGCACCCCCATGGCTGTCTCGGGGCGTGGGGCGGGGGGAGTCAGAGGGAAGGAGGCAGAACAGGATGTCACTGGAAGCAGAGCCCGAGATGGGGACCCTTGTACGAGGGACTGATGGCGGGAGGGCTCTCAGGAGGCCGGTGAGTGAGGACAGCCGACCTGGGCCAGGGAGGGACCACGTGAAGATACGCTGTTGGGTGTCCGGCTCTGCCTGACCTGGGGGAGCCCTGGACTGGGACATGCTCCATAGCGATTGTCCTGCTCAGAAGCGAAGGGAGTTGGCTGTCAAGGCCTGGGACAGTCAGCCGATGGCTCCGGGCTTTTCCCGGGGCGGGGGGTGAATTCCCCCAGGCCTCCCCGGCCAAGACTGCTCCACCCGCAGGGGCAACGCCCCGGGGGCCGGAGCGTGGGCCGGTGTAACCCGCACTCCTGCAGCCTGGCGAAGGCAGAGGCCTCGGCACCTGTTCAACCGTAAGAGGCCCACGTGGCTGGTGATGGCGCCAAGCCCCCACCTCTCCCTGGCTGCTCATTCCCAGGGGGACACTGCTCCAGGAGGGGCTGCAGGAACACGCTCCAGAATGTTCCAGAATGTTCCGGGAGAACCCAGGAGAGGACGGCACAGGCCCTGCCTGTGCCCAAGCAAAATTTTGCGTCGACGTCCACGCCGAAGACCCTCTTGGGCTCCCCCTGAGGGCAAAGGGCCCAGACTCCAGCCAATGAGATGTGAATTCAGGGGCCGGCCTCTCCGGCAGGCTGAGGGTTTTCAGGGTGAAGTGTCTCACTGCTGCCTTTTGCGACAGAAAACCTCCCTGCGGCTCAAGCTGGGCAGCCCTTAGCGCCTTCGATTCCTCGCAGCCACCCGAGGACTTGGGGGCGGAGGTGACCTGACCACTGGGAAGACCGTTCTCCCCTTGACCCCCACGCCCTCCTTCCTTCTCTGCCCTTTGAACCCCCTGGGCCACGCCCAGCAGGAAACGGGCCTTGACAGGCAGGAACCCACCGCTTCACAGAGCAAGGCCCCAGGGACTACAGCGTCTGCCCAAGGCAGGGAGGCCACCTGCCCTGTGAGTGGACCGGCTCCAAAACCCAGGTGCCAGAGAAGATGAACAGAGGTCTCTTTTCTACTCTTGCTGCCGTCAAAATCGGCCCCGAGAGGCGCCGCATTCGCTCTGCAGAGCTGACCTGAAGTTCTGCCCGCTCCCCAGCGATGGGGACCGGCGGGTGGATGGGGACGGATGCTCCGACGAATGAGGAGGCAACATGGCCCAGTGGGTCGCCTCCCTTCCTGCTGTCCGCGTGGCTCTGAAGAGTGTCGTGGGAATAGGGTTCTGGTGGCTCGACCAGGCAGCTGGACGTGGGGCGAAGGTTCTGTTCATGAGCTGACCACCGATGGTGACCTGCACAAACCCCTGGATCAAGAGTCTAGCTCCCAACTGGCCCCCTGCCGCGAGTCTCAGGGCACCTGGCGCTGCTCTGCACCCCAGTTCTTCCACCTGCAGCCTGGGGGCACTGCACTGGCTCGCCGGTCTGCGTCGACTTGCTCCTTCCCATCAGTAACAAGGGCTGAGCCTGCACCCTAACACGTGCACAGACGTTCATTTACACGTGCTACATGTTTTCTCCGCCAGGGAATCACGTACATTACAAAGGCCACGATAGACAAGAATGTCTAGATGAAAATAACTGTGCATATGCCCTGGCCGGTTTGGCTCAGCAGTTAGAGCGCCGACCCACGACCCAAAGGGTCCTGAGTTTGATTCCTGGTCAAAGACATGCACCTGGGTTGTAGGTCTGATCCCTGGCCCCGGGGTCCTGTGGGAAGCAACCAATCCAGGTGTCGCTCTCACATCGATGCTTCTCTCTCTCTCCCTCTCTCTCTCTCCCTCCTTCTGTCCCTTCCACTCCATCTGAAAAATCAATGGAAAAATATCCTCTGGTAAGAATTAACAAACAAAAACAAACAAAAAAGCAAAGAAAAGAACTATAGGTAGAAGCTCGAGACTTCTGTTTCCCTGCGGTGCCCTCACACCGGGACGGCGGAGCTTGGCTCTGGAGGTTAGCCCAGGTGACGCGGAAGGTGTGTGGGCCCACTCTTCCGAAGGACACCCTTTAGACCCGCGTGAGCCACGTGTGGCTCTATAACTTCACTGAAATGAAATAAACTGTAAGACTCAGTTTCTCAGACACACTAACTACACCCCAGACGCTGGACAGTGTGGTGGGGAGTGGCCACTCTGGTGGGTCTGTGCGGGTCAGAGCGCCTCCGCCACCGCAGACACTCGGTCAGATGGCCCGTGTAGCATGTCAACGCCATGCGGCCCCGCGTGTGGTTACAGCACATGCTGCGCAGCACGGGACGCGCTTCGTAAACACTGTCTCGTTTAGTCCCCACGACAGCTCACGGATTAGGTCTGTTACGTCCCCATGTCACGGAGGAAAAGTGAGGAGAGGCGGGACGAGGAGTCCCTGAGAGCGGGCACACCAGTCAGGGACCAAGCCTCTGGCTGCTCCCAGGCCCCAGGGACGTGAGCTTCCGTCTGAGCGTCACCGCCGTGGGACACTGTATGAGGGAGCTCCGGACACTCGCTGCCCAGACTGGTCACTGTGCGTCTCTGTCCACAGGTGCAGAGGGAGCTTCCAGCAAGGTCGTCTGCAGCTCCGAGGGAGCAGGCGACGCAGGCCACTCCGGGTGCTGAGAAAAGACCGCCGCCCTCCCCCGCTCGAGGGGCTGGACCCACGCAGGACCCTCGGGCAGGCTTCCTCAGACATGGCAGGTAACGCTCTCCGTGGAGGCACCAAGAGGCACCACTGCTGGGGGTGCAGGGTGAGCAGCAGACAGCCACCCTAGCCCTCAGGCGCCCAAAGTCCCGCAGGGGTGCCGAGGATGTCACACAGATGTCCATCGGTGGGACAGTAGGTGTGACCCTAACTTCGTGGGCAGGGTGCTGGGTGGGAATACTGATTGAGGGTCCAGTACGAGAAGACAGATGTCCTCGAGCACTGGCCACGTGCACTGGGCACAGGTCCCCTGCAGACTAGAACTCGGGGTGCGCCGCTCTCCCCTCACCTTGAAGAAAGCCACTCGGTCCTTCCCACGGGCCCGCCGCGAGGCTAGAGCAGGTCGGTGGACGGCCCGAGCCTGTGAAGTGGGCGTGTGAGTAGCTGTTCTGTGCCACGAGCTCGGGGGACGATGCTCACGCGGGAAGCGGGAGAGGCCGGGAGAGGCCCGCTCCTCAAGCTGGGAAACCGGGCGAGCGGGTGGAGACCCCTTCCTGGAACCCGGGCTGTTGTGAGCTGTGTTCACTGGGCACAAAATGCGTAACGTCTCTGGACCTCCATCCCCCCCCCCCCCCCAGCAGTAAGGAGCCGGGTCTCCGCCAGCTTGCAGGGTGCTGGCTGGGGAACGGGGAGACCATCTGTGAAAGGCTGCGGGGTCCCATCTACCATCCCTGTGTGGCTGCAGGGCCGACCCTGGGCTCTATCTGGTGGCTGAGGTTGTGCGCCCTGGGGACACCTCCCCCCCCCCTTTGTGTAGCTCCAGTGCCCCCTCCATGCAGAGGGTGCTTTCCTGCCCCCCTCCAACCCCCACCCCCACCCCCTAAAGCCCTCTCCAGTGGGCAAGGACAAAGGTTCATCTCTCAGTGAGAACTGAAGTCAAGGACGGTGTTTGCTCTGTTGGGCGGCCGGTTACGGAAGGAAACGCGTTGTGTCTGTGGAATCGGCAGGTCCGGATTGTGCGGGAGAGGCTGGGGTGCGGGGGTGGGGGAGGCAGACATGCCATCAGGGAACCCAGCCCTGCCCTTCCTTCATGGTCTAGGTCTTTCCTCCCGAGCCCCATTCCTCGCCTCCTTCTCAGAGAGACGCAGCCAACGGACTGCTCCCTGGGTGCGTTTGGGTGATGCCCCGACCGACCCCGCAGAGCCTGCCGGTTGCCCCACCGGTCAGGGCTGCGTTCCTCCGGGCATCCTCACGGGGTCTGGCTCTGCCCCCGAGCGGGACGGGGACAGCGTGTGCTCCATACCCGGGCTGGGTGGAGTCTCCTCGGTCAGCTTCCTCCTCGGTCCGTCCGTCTGTCTGTATGGCTAGGCTGTGGACGTCGGTCCCGCCTACCCCGCGGCCAGTGGCAGGGTCCAGCGAGCGTGTGTGGCGCGTGCTTTGCAGACTAGAGCAGACGGGGTTGGCTGTTGCTGTCCACTGAGCACAACGAGCTTACGCGGGTGCCGACTGTCGTAGGCCAAACGGGTGGGGGACATGTGGCGACGAGGTCTCTGTTGTTCATCACAGGACGAGTTCAGTGTTAAGGGAGGAGCCCCGGGAGGGTCTTCTTGGGAGAAAGGGGGCTTCTGGAAGTCCGGGTGCAGGGAGGCTAGAGCAGAGGCTTCCTGGCTGGGGAGTGGTGAGCGAAGGCTGGGGGAACGGGGAGTCGGGGGGGGGGCGGACTGAACTCCCGCGGTTTGCTGTGTTCCCGGTCGCGGAGGACCGGGTCTTCCTTGGGTCCCACTGTGCCCTCTGCCCAGGGCGGCTGGAGAGATGGCCCGAGCTGAGTGGCTTAAAACAATGAGAGGCCATTCTCTCGGGGTCCTGGGGCTCGGGGGCCGCGCGTGCCCTCCCAAGACGCTCGGGGAGGAGCCTCCCTGCCTCCCCCAGCTCCTGGTGGCTCCAGGCTTCCTTGGCTTGTGGCCGCATCCCTCTGGTCCCCACTCCTGTCTCCACACGGCCTCTCCCCTGTGCTTCTGGGGGTCGAACCTCCCTCTGTCTTTGTAAGGACACTTGTCACCGGATTCAGCCACCCTAAGTCCGGGATCGTCTTACCTGGAGGTCCTTTGTTTAATGCCACGGCCAAGGCCCTTTACCAAGGTCCCAGTCACAGGTTCCATGGGTCGTGCCCATTATCTCGGACACCTCTTTTTGGGGGCCCACGACTCCACCCCTGCAACCCTTTTACAACTTTCCCCGTCTGCGAACTGACGGAAGTGACGCCCGAGCGTGTTTCTCGGCGGGAAGGGCCGTGTGCGCGTGGACAGCGCGTGGAGAACAGTGCACGTGGTCTGTGCTCTTTCACGCGCAGCATTGCTGGGGAAGTTGTACCTGAACCTCAGGCAAGAGGTGATGAGAAAAGGGAGCCGCTGAGCCACCAGCCGCAGCCCGAGCTCCACCCTGGGGGGCGCTGTCCAGGTGGCTGCAGGCCGGCGGCCCCATCCTGACACTGCGTGTTGGGCTATGGGGCACATGGGCTTCCTTCCGGGAGAAGGCCCCGTGGCAGGCGGCACCGGGCGGGCAGAGCCTCCCGGATGGCTCTGGGGAGTGTCCACGGGCTGAAGTCCAGCTGTACCCGGCTTGCCTGGCCTTGAGCTTTGGGCCTGGGGCTGTGCCACCCCAAAGTGAGGACACCGCTCCTCTGCCTTGCCCCACAGGGGGCGCCCTTCCACACATCCTCCAGGGAAAGTGGGTGCCTCTTCCCTGCGTGCCCTGTGTGCTTATGGGGACCCAGAGCGGCCAGTGGGGAAGCCTCGGGGTGTCATCTCACCGTCCTTCCCCTTCAAAGCTCTCCTCGACCTCGAGTGGCCCGGCCCCCCCACGTGGCTGCGGTGAGATCTGAGGCTGCCCCACGCGGGGAGAAACTCCATTCTGCACGCTTCTCATCCCCGCGTCGGCTCTCGTACCCCAATCCCACGTGCAACAGGGGCCACTGAGTGGTGGTTAAAACTGGACCCAGACAGGAAAACGAGATTCAGAGACAGAGTCTGAGTGTGGAGCTAGGAGAGGAAGGGCCATCCGTAGCCCCCATGCTTCCTGGGACTGCGCCCCCCCACCCCGGTGTCGGTAACAGTGTCACAGTGCCAGCAGGAGTGTGACAAATGTCTCCACTTTCATGTTGATCATTCGAGCAGAGGGTTAGGTCACTGGTGCCCATGTTCAAAGGGCTTCCTCGGCCGACCGGGGAGAACAGAGATGTCCGTCCACAGGGCAGGTGTGCGGCTGGGGGATGTGCCCGGGGCTGGCTCGGGGAATGTTAATCACCCCTGCTCCGTACTGAAGTGTCAGGCACCAGCCAGCCGGGTGGACAGGTCGTGATGGACGCCATCGCTTGGGGGGGTGAGAGAGTACATGCAGCTCAATACCGCCTGGAAATCAAAGGGGTTCGGGGATTGATCGCCAACGCTGGCCAACGCTCGTATTTCACAGCGGAGGAGGGAGTCTCGGAGTGTTGAGTGTTCGGACTTCGAAGGAACAGAAAGGTGGGCTTCTTGGCCCACCGCTTACAAACAACCATCCCGTCTCCTTTGACCTGGTGGGTCCTGGGTGGAGAGATCAGAGCTGGCTTCTGAGTGTGGGAGCTGACCTCACCGTGCGTGTGTATGCGTGCGCGCGCGCGCATGCATGAGTGTGTATACAAGTGTGTATTTTATTTTTGGGGGGTTGGACCTGTTTTCTGTGGCAGGACAATGATAGGGTGATCTGTTGGGGTGACCTGAGAGGCTGTAACATGGGGGAACATAATGAAAGCCAACAAAGACATTGACATTGATCTTTGGGGTGGGGAGGATTTTCCAATAAAAAAAATAGGGAAAACCTTTGGCCCTGGTCCTTCTAGTCCAGCTAGAATCAGTAAAACATTTAAAGAATAAGTGATCAGGAATACTTATGTCCAGGGGCTGAAATAAGATGTTATAACTGATTCTTAGTCCTCTTTATTTTTGGAGAATCTTCCCGTCAATAATTTATGAGGCTGAGAGAGGAGAGAGAGGATGCTATTGAAAAATATTTTTTGAAAGGATGCTTAATTTCCCTCTCTTTTAAACTATTCTGATAGCTCCGAACTGACCATCCGAGCTAGCAGAGGGCGTGGCACAGGGCGTGGCACAGGGCGTGGCAGAGGGCGTGGCAGAGGAGGCACCAGCAAGAAGGCCAGAGGAGCGATGAAGGACTAAGACCTAACTGATAACATTGTATCGTGATTGGAGTAGTCTCTGAGATTCTCCTGAGAACTTCTGTTAAAAATCTAAATTCAGTCGCCCATCCCATCCAAGTTTCCAGCGAGGGGTAGGGGGGAACAGGAAGTTTCTTTTCAGTCGTCAAATAGAGTTGACTTAACAGACACCCCAGGAGAAATGGGGTGTGGATGGGCATGAGGGCTGATGCCCCTCACCCCACGCTTCGGGGCCAGGGCTGAGCTCAGCTGCTTCATTGGTAAGAGAAGTTCTTAGATACCAAACACGGAATGTGCCAAGGAGAGCGAACATCGACCTGAGGCAAAACCTTATAATCCAAATTTTTTTTTTTAATTTTTAGTTTTTTTATTAATTTATTTTTGTTGCAGATGTTTCTCCTCTTTCCCTCACTGACACCCTCCTCCTGATCCCCCCTAGCCCGTCCCCAGCATTGTTGTCTATGTCCATGGTTATGCCTACATGCATATAAGTTCTGTGGTTTACTTCTTCCCTGCCCCCCTAGACCCCCTCTTCTGAGGTTTGTCAGTCTGTACCCTACTTTTATGTCCCTGGGTCTATTTTGTTCATCGGCTTGTTTTGTTCATTATATTCCACAAATAAGTGAGATCATCTGATACTTGTCTTTCTCTGCTTGGCTTGTTTCACTTAGGATAATACTCTCCAGGTCCCTCCATGTCGTCTCAAAGGATTAAGAGATCTTTCTTTCTTACAGCTGCATAGTACTCCATTGTGTACATGTACCACAGCTTTTTATCCACTCGTCTGTTTCCAGATCTTAGCGATTGTAAATAGTGCTGCTATGAGCGTATGGGACACCCCAG